TTGCCAACACCCTGCTGTCTTTCTCACAGTGGCTTTGTAGTATAGTTTCAAATTGGGAATTGTTATACCCGCTGCCATGTCTCTTGCCTAGGCTGGCTTTTGCTATTGTAGGTCTCTTTTGGTTCCAAATGAATTTTTGGATTCTCTTTTCTAGTTCTGTGAAATATAGTGTTGGAATTTCAGTTGGCGTTGCCTTGAATCTGTATAGCAGTTTTGTTAGTATGGCCATTTTCACTATTTTGAGTCTTCCTACCCAGGAGCAGGGGATATCTTTCCATTTCCTTATATCCTCTTCTATCTCTTTTTTTCAGAGAACTGTAGTTTTCAATGTAGAGGTCTTTTGTATCTAGGAATCAATTTAAGAAAAGAAGTAAAATTATTATTATTCGACACAGCTGAAGGTGGAAGGCAGAGGTCTGGGAGAGTCTCTCTGAGATCCATTCTCCCTCCAGCCACCTGGAGCCAATTGCCCTGCCTGGGACCAATAGGTGAGGACTTGGTAGCCATTCCCTGGACCTGCCTATCCTCTGACCAACCTACAGCGGTAGGTGAAAGGTGGAGGTCTGGTACAACTGTCTGAGATCCATTCTCCCTCTGGCCTGCCTGCGGCCGATCAGTGAGGACTAACTTGCAAGTGGGCACGCATGCAACACCCCTGTCCAGCCCCTGTCCCTACCTGTCTCCAGCTCTCAGGCCTCCTAATAGTGGCAGTCCTTGGATCCACTCTGCAGAGGCACAGGTAGTCATAAAGGGCATTTTTCTGAGCTTCAAACTTTGAATATCTTCAAAGAAAGGTCAGAGGGAGCCTATAGTAGAACTTTGCAGAGATCAACCCTGCAGGAGGTCAGGCAGCTCAATTTGGGCCTTGCAGCCTGAAATCAGCCTGAATCTCAGGGGTCTGTCTCAGGCTAGCTGAGATCAAAGGACTTAGTTCTGCACATGGCTGCACACATTTTGTATTATGACAGCAGAGATCTAGTCTGAAAGATGCCCTTCAAATTCTTTTTCTTCTTTCTTTTCCTCATTCTACTCTGCAAATTCTTCCTTTTATCTGTCCTCTTTTTCTAACTCAGTCTCATACTCCACCATATTATTCCTCATCTCCCTTTCTGTTTCTGTTCCTGCCCTAACTCAGATTTCTTCTTTTATCATTTTTTCTTTTTTCTTTATGTTCTTTTCTTCTCTCATTTCCTTCACTCAAGCAAGGGTCAATAGTTTCAAGGGAAAGAGAGCCCCTATTCCTGTGAAGCTGTTATATTCTTGTCTTTATTCCTACACTCTGTATTTGCCTTTTGCCTTTAACTGTTTCCTAAAGATTGTATGGTCATCCTATGTCCTCTGGATTCACTTGAAACCTTTTCCAATTCTTTTACCTATCTACTCCTCTCATCCTAAGTCTGTCTAAGTACCCATCCTAAATGGTAAAGATGATATATTGAAAAGCTTATTCACTGCAAACATACTTTGGGCTACTTCTTGGTTTTAATTTAATTCACATGGTTTACAGGTGATAGAATAATGACTACTACAAGTGGTCAATTTGCAAGTCGTGCTTGATCATAATGTGTTGCTGATTGTATCAGTTGGGATAAAGGATTGTGATTGATTTAATGAGTTTTCATCTCTAATATTATGAGAATGAGAATATCTCTGAGTCATTAGCAACTCAAAAGCTAAAGCGCAACTATATCATGAAGATTTAAGTAATAACCCAGGAATTAAACCAAGGACACCCCAACAACAAAAATAAAATTGAGAAAACCCTTAAGCAAGACACAAAGACAGACTTCCAGTTCATCAATGGCAAACAGTAGGGCAAAGGAGAATGAAAAGGTCAATAGTGAACCATCAGGACATTCAGAACTCACAGCACAGGAAGTAACAAAACAGATCAATCAAGCTCTAGAAAAATTCAAAGCAGAAATAATTTCCCAGATAACCATGGAGATGGTGAGCAAAATGAAAGTCATGATTCGACACTCTAGAACAGAAATTGACAAAAAAAAAAAA